GTTGTCAGCCCAGGCTGGCACTGGGTGTGCTCAGTGTGCACTGAGTGACCCTCTGGGTTTTTAGTTTCCCTCTSTTTATGAGTCTAAAAAGAATGACAGAATCCCAGAATGATTTGGGTTGAAAAGGACTTAAAACTCACCATGCTCCACTCCCTGCCCTGGGCAGGGACACCTTCTGCTGTTCCAGGGTYCTCCAAGCCCCATCCATCCTGGCCTTGAASTTTCCAGGGATGGGGCAGCCACATATTCTTTGGGCGCCCTGTGCCAGGGCCTGCCCAACCAAATTATAAAGCCACAGAATKCAAAGATCACAGATTGAGATAAGAGTCATTTACTGGAAACAGCACTGAGAGAAAAAAACTAACAGTAACAGCACCAATATTAATAAGAAAAAGTATAGTAGAAATTATTTACACGGAAATTAGGACAATACAGGATTGTTCTGCCCACCGAGCTTTCTCCCGCTGGAAGGAGCACGCTTCTTCCTGGAWGCAAAAGAGAGAGTCCCACCCCCACCACCTCAGCAATGACATGAGCTGGTGTCAAACAGCTTGAGGGTCTTRGTCATGTCCTCTACTGCTCATCTGGGCCAAATCCTTTAAGATTGTTTGTTCCCAGATGTCCTTGACAAGGGGAGGCAGCTGCTGCCTRTTTCACTGATAAGATCTCCTTTCTTGCTGATTAGGCTGGAAAGTATCCAGAGATCTTTGTCCTGGTTTAGCAATGGTATTCTCCAGTTTAATGCTCCCAATAAAACCATGTGCTGCTGGCTCTCCTTCCACTCCTTCTCCACTGTGGAGGGATGAAGAGGAGAATTGGAGGCACAACAAGCAAAGATCATGGGGTGGGATAAGAATAATTTACTGGAAGCAGCARTGAGATAAGAAAAKGAACAGTAACTYCTGCAATATTAATAACAAAGTGTACAAAAGAGAGAGTGACTCACACTCCAATATGTGACCACCGGGCCCCTGACCCAACTGCAGCCTCACTGTCCTGACAGCAAGAGAGCCCTTCCTTCCCAAAGAGACCCATTCCCCCTCCCACTCTCAGCAATGACCTGACGGGTTATGGAACAACCTCTGGGTCCTGGCCATGCCCTCTCCTGGCTGATGCAAAAATTAACTCTRTCCTGACTGGAACCAGGACTATCTGACATCAAAGGTCATCCTGAACTGAGATAATCTTGACATATTGCACATTTTTCAGCACTTGCAAGAGTCCAGTAAAGGTTGTCTAGTCCAACCCTTTTCCATGGACAGGGATATCTGACACTACACCGGGTTACTCAAAAGTCCTCGTACCCTTCCCAAGACGCAGCACCACATCACTCTATAGGCAACATTTTCCAGTGCCTCACCACACGCATCATCATAAATTTCTWTCTTTTGTGCCTTCTACCCTATTTCACATTAAATATCTTGCTCCTTGTCCAACCACTGCAGGCCTTGATATAATGTCTGTCTCCAACTTCCTTGCATGTCACCTTTTCTGGGTTTTCTCTTTTGTCCCTTTATTTCTTAAATCTCTTTCAACCAAAACTTCTCTCTCTTGCTCTCACAGTTCTCCCCAGTTCCACTAGGAAAGCAGATCTAGAGAAGAGTTGCTCGGTTCTTAGTGTTGACTGGGTTAAACACACCACAGCTGGAGCATCTCTCCCCTGGGCCTGCCCATGCCCTGTCTGTACCCAGRGATCCTGGGGAATGTTTCTGGGGAGAGGGAGCCCAGAGAGACTCAGGGCAGGAGGAGAGGCAGTGGGTGTGGGCTGAGGGTCTCCAAGGGCTATCCAGAAGGAGCTGAGGGAGGGGAGTGGCTGAACTGCTGCAGGTCACAGSTGGGCATGGGGACACATGTCTTCCAGAGTTCAAGGAAAAGAATGCTTCAGGGGAGACCAAAAACCATCTTTCTCATTGTGATCCTTGAAGAGCATCTGGCTGTGCTCTCTAGGCCCAGTAAGACAGAGAAGGCTAGAAAAAGAGTTACCTATTGGACAACTAAGAATATTCAAATTGAGCCTGTGTTAACACCCTGTGCACAACCAGAGGCAACAATCCCCTCTCACAACCAGCCCTGAGCAACATCTTCCTTTCTGGGCAGTTAGGAAGAGAATAAATGAGAGAAAGACATGGGCTGCAATGCAAAAGAACTTTAATGAATCAAACAAGGAAAATTAGGTCAAACCAAGCTGAGACGCCAATGCAGAGAGCACAAGGGGCTAACAAGAGTCTGTTGTTTTCCAGGGTGTGTTTTCCAAGCAGGCGCCCACACAGGGGCTGGAGGCAGCAGGTCCTCCCCAGGCTGGCTGAGTGGGGATCACWGCCCASRGGAGCACAAGGGAACAGGGACACAGGAGGGAAAGGAGAGAGGAAAAGAGGGCAGAGGCAGGGATGGGCCGTGCTTCCCGAGAGCTCAGGCTGGYCCYGTMYTTCTGCCAGGRCTGCTGGGGGTGCTCAGCCCCTCRGGAAGAAACAAGCCAATGCTGTGTCCCCAGGGTGGCTCCATCCTGGGTGTCCCTGGGTCCCTTCCCCAGGGCCATCACCAGCAGCTTTAGCAGGGGARGRACCTCGTGCCACAGAGGCCACTGCCCAGGCCAGAGAGGCCAAAGCCCCCAGAGTTGATGGGCACTCCCTGAGAGCTGAGGATGCTGCCAACAGCAGCTGAGGTGGAGGATCCCACCACGGTGTTCTGAGGGAAGGAGCTGAGGATGGGACCAGGCAGAGTCACCACCACAGGCGAGGGTTCGATGACGACRTTGGAGCTCTGGCACTGGCGGACACAGGGCTCATTGCAGCTGTTGGCCAGCGGGGTGGGGCCACAGGGCTGGCAGGGCAGGCATGGAGTGTAGCAGGACATGTCTTGGGGCTGCAGGTGCACCTGACAGAGAGGACATTGAGGAGAAGAGTTGAGGAAGCTCTGTGTCACAGGAGGAGACTGACACAGCATGATGGAGAAAAGCAAAGAGAAGGAGAAGAAAGCAGGAGGCTGCTTAGATGGAGGCCCTACAGCCTCACTTTCCAATCAGCCCTGAAAAATCTTTCCAAGAACAACCAAGTCCAGGGAATTCCATACCTAGCTTAAAGGTCAGGAGATACCACAGCCAAAACCCTGTGCATCCTGGCACAAATTCTGCCCCTTCCCTCTCCCAGGTCAGGCAGAGAACCAAATGGGATTAAAGCAAAGAATGGAATCAGAAAACCCAGAAGCAGAAGAAAAGAAAGGCTTCAGACTCACCTTGATCCTAAGGAGATGGAGGCGAGAGGAGTGGATGAGAGAGTGAGGAGAAGGTCCCCCTTTTATACTTCTCCTGCATTGCCCCAGGCCCACAGTCACTGCACAAKGACAGTAATTTTCCAACACATTCACCTCCAAAGCAAAATATCCTCCCTAACGCCACACATTGTGGTTTGATTTCCATCAACACTGCCATTTAATTTCCTCATTTCTGACACGCTTGGTCTGTGTTGCAGCTCCTTTAATCATGTTGCCATGAKAGACCTGATGATACCCAGGCTCCAGCACCCAAAGGCTCCTCTCCTCATTCTCCCTGTACTCCAATGCCCCCTGGCCCCTGCTTCTCCAGGGAAATGCTTTCCTCTTTCTTCTGCTTGATTTGCTGATGCAGAATATTTGCCAGGCTATCTGAGTATCCCAGGGTTGGGGTTAGGAACCAACCCACCTGGAGCAGAATGAGGAAAACACGTGGGGGGAATCAAGAAGATCTTCCACACAAGGCAGCAGCCAAAGACTGACTGGGGCAGCTTCACTGGGGTCAGGGGTTATAGGATAGGGGAAGGTTTTCCAAGGCTTCTGGGCCTTGGTCTTCACTGGCAGCATTTGCTGTCCCAGGATCAGGCTCCTGATATTCCTCACAAAGTCTGGAGCGGGGAAAACTTCCCCACAGCAGAGGAGAAGGATCAGCTATGGGAACATTTAGACACACTGGACTGTCATGAGTGTGAGTGTGTGCTGGGCACACGAGTGTTAGTGTCAGGGGAAGAACCTCTGAACTCCCTTTGGGAAGTGCTGGCAGTSAGGGAATGCTGCTGAGGACAGGGAGGAAGACCTGGACAGGGAGCATATGAGTAGCAATGTACAGGCCCTGGACTTCAAAGGTGATAACTTCCATCCATTCAGGCATCTGGCAGGACAGATGTGCTTTCATAGGCACCTGAGAAGACCAAAACAGACTGGAAAAGCTGGCAGCACAACAGGGGCACCTCAAGGTGAAAGGAACCTGAAAGGTCCAGGCAAAACACAGGCTAAAAAGAGAACACTTGGATGGTGGGTGGGAATGGACAGAGAGGACTCATCTTCTTGGTCAAGGACAGTGACTCCACCGCTTGGTTGTGAAAAGGAGCTCTCCTGGATGTTCTGGAGAGGAAAAAAGGGGTTCCAGAAAACACTGCCTCACTGCTTGGGATACATCCTGGGCTCCAAAGCTCTGTGGCATCTGTCCTGGGCATTGGGACTTCAGCCCACCCCTTTCCAACRCCCCAAATGCCTCCTCAGCCTAAAGAACAACCCAGCACCATCGGATAGGAAGGAAACCTTCATTTGTCCAGCAAGTAAGAGCGCTGGAGAAACTGCAGTGGTGTGTGCCTGAGGATGCTCACGGAGGGGATGCGCTCAGAAACGTCCTGGGTACAAAACAGCTCTGAAACCACACTGAGGACTGATGCACTTCCCAGCCCTGCAGACATGGAGGCAGCTGGGACGTGTCCCAGGAGCACAAGGGAATGCCTTCAGTAAGCAAATTTCCAGGGAGAGACTCTCCCTACCAGAGACAAGTCACGCTTTAATTTTGGGTTGGCYGTGTGTCAGTGTTTTGGTGTGAGGCCAAGCCAGGAGGGCGTGATGTCTGCAGGCCTCTGTCCCAGGCAGGGCTGGATTCCCCTCTGGCAAGGGCAGCTCCATCCTGGCCTTGGGAAAAGGGATGCTTGGCAGCTATCCCACAAGGTCAGGGATGTTCTCAGCTCTGACAGAGTGTGTTGGAAAAGTGGCCTGTGCCTGTGTGTCATCCAGGTCAGGCTTCACATTTGTGCAGCCAAAGGGCATCATGGGGTGAGGAGAGAAGGAGGAACAAGGAACGGTCCAGATACCCAACAACCTCTTGAAATATTGAGGAGGAACCCAATGGCACAGGGCTCTGCTTGAGACTTGATTTCTGCCCAGAATCAGAGAATGGTTGAATCAAAGAATCACAGGGATTGGAAAAACCTCCAAGATCATTGTGTCCAACCATTACTCATGTGTTCCAGAAAAAAATCCAATCCTTGGGCTTCTCATCCCAGAACATGAAAGGGATCTCCGTGACCTAGTTGGGATGTCAGGAATGAGGAAATGAAATGGCAGCGTTGATGGAAACCAAAACCCACCCTGTRGCGTTAGGGAGGATATTTTGGTTTTTTTGTTTTGGAGATGAGTCTGTAGGACAATTGCTGCTCCTGTGCAGTGACTGTGGGCCTGGGGCACTGCAGGAGCAGTATAAAAGCAGCTGCTTCTCCTCACTCTCGTATCCACTCTTCCTGTCTCCAGTTCCTTGGGAATAAGGTGAGTTTGGAGCATTTCTCCTTCTCCTTGTCCTCCCCCTGCTAAATTTCTAAGCAAGCRTGTGCCTTATCTTCAGCTGGGCACTGGGGCTCCTTGCTGTGGGTGAGGGAAGGAGGGAGAAGGTATGGCAGAGACCTACACTGGGGCTTGGCTGAGGTGTCTCCTGAGCTGTTGGGGAGGTGGGGATCTCTGTGGACTTCGTGTTTGAAGGGTTTGTCAGTGTTTGAAGGGTTTTTTTGGGGCTGAGCAAAAGAGGGTCATCCTCATGGTGGGGTCGACAGGATCTTTCTCATCCACGCCTTAGCTCTATTTCTCTCTGATCTCTCTGYCAGGTGCACCTGCAGCCCCAAGACATGTCCTGCAACACCCTGTGCCGGCCCTGCCAGCCCTGCGGCCCCACCCCGCTGGCCAACAGCTGCAATGAGCCCTGTGTCCWGCAGTGCCAGRACTCCAMYGTSGYCATYSAGCCSYCKSCYGTGSTGGTGACCCTGCCTGGCCCCATCCTCAGCTCCTTCCCTCAGAACACCGCCGTGGGATCCTCCACCTCDGCTGCTGTTGGCAGCATCCTCAGCTCTCAGGGAGTGCCCATCAACTCTGGGGGCTTTGGCCTCTCTGGCCTGGGCAGTGGCCTCTGTGGCATCAGGTCCTTCCCCTGCTAAAGTTACTCCCTGCACTGGAGCCTCCATGTGGATCCCCATCTTTTCCCTCTTTTGATTCATTAAATTCTGCTGCATCCCAGCTCTCGCCTTTGTGTCATCCTTAGCCCTGCAGATGCTCTCCCAAAGCAGAGATGTTGGCCAGGGGTGTTTTTGAGAGGGGGTTGTTGCAGCTGGATTTGCACTGGCTGTCAGCCCAGGCTGGCACTGGGTGTGCTCAGTGTGCACTGAGTGACAATCCAGTTCTGAATTTTTCTGCCTCTTTGGGTCACGATAGATTTCMTTACTTTGTCCACTGACAAACATCCACTTTGTTTGCACTTCTTTTCCTTTTCCTTGCTGTGACACAAGCACTCAGTGACCGTGTTRCTGACCAGATGGAGGTACTGGATTCCCATCAGACTCCAGCAGAGTCTGGGCTGCCTTCTCACAGACCCAGGGTATCAAGGAATCATAGAATGAGTTTGGTTGACAGAGATTCTTAAAGGTTATCTAGTCCAACCCTCCYGCCATGGGGACAGATATCTCAGCTCCAGCTAACCTATTCCAGATTAAAACTCCTGCCCCTAGTCCAGCCACTAGATATAATGTCTCTCTCCAGCTTCCTGACACAACACCACATATTCAAAGGCTCCAATAAGGTCCCCCAGACCCTGCTCTTCTGCCTGAAAAACCTGCTTCAGCTGCCCTTCAGAGCAGGGGCACCCATGTGACTGTTTTTGCAGCCCTTCTCTGCAGTGCAGTTCTCCATCCATCCACCCCACTGTCACTATTGGTTCCTGAGATTGCCCCAAAGCAGCGGTGGGACCTTTCACTTGGCTTTGTCGAAATTCCCAAGTTCCATGTGGAACCATTCCTCAAGTCCTTCAAGATCCCTCTGGATTTAAATTCTCCTCTCAAGCAGAGCTATTGCTCCCCTCAGCTTGGTTGCCTTGCTGAGAGTCACAGGATYATTAAGGTTGGAAAAGGTCCCCAAGATCAACACCTTGACCAAATACCCCTATGGCMAATAAACCGCATCACAAAGTCCTATGGGGTTGCACTCAATACCATTGTCCACRTCACTGATGATCACAGACAGCAAGGGCTGTCACCAACACCCTGGGCTGTGAGAGCAGGAGTGGAACCAGATGGGTGGGATCGAGGATGCTGCTCTGCTCAGCACTGGCCTGTGCCATCCCTTGTTGGGGACAGGCTGTAATGTGAAAGCCACCTGGACCAAGMGCTGTGACTTCAGTGCAGGGTGGCCAGGATGGTGARGAGGTCAGAGCAGAGGACAGGCACMGGAATWACTGGGTGTGGAGAGGAGAACGGTTTGGTTAGAAAGATAAAATCATCCTTGTGGTAGACAGGGTCAGTGAAGAGGTTTGCTTCCTTCTATCCATCCAGACTGTGAGGCACTGAACTCTTACAGGGTAATGACTCAAAACATTCCCCCATCTGTGGAGACCAGGGTGCTTTGGTGAACTGGGGGAGGTGATCTTTGGATGTGTAATGGCCCACCTCTGATCTGACAGAGGGTGAATTGTGGGCTTTGAGTGGGATAGGAAGTGGATGCTGGTGCCTCTTGTCATTCTAAGTTGGCCTCCCTTGCACGAGAGTTGGGTTGTGGGACTCCTTCTCTTTCCCTGCTGGGAAGCACTGTGTCCTGACAGCRCTCATCTCTGCTGATGGGCCATAATGGGCCAATATCAAAGCAACTGAACTAGGTGTGATGGGCAGCTGTGTTGTCTTAGAAGGTGTCAAGGCCCCCATGAAATGTCCTCTAATCCACACCATAGCACCATCCAGTGTGAAGCTCTTCACCCCAGGGGAGGTACCTGGGCATTCCCACCTGAACCATAATGAACATAAACAAAGTAGATTTTGTGTTCTGTGGATTTTCTCWGGGATTTTTCCCCACCATCCAACAGGTCTGGTCTACCACCACTTTGACCAAGACTGCACAGCAACCAAGTCTCATCATAGGGCCTATGGTTGGAGAGATCRTTACCATCTTGCCCTTTATCTCTGTTCCTTTCTTTTACCTTGTGCACATCCCTGGGTGATGTGATTGCATGTTGGTATTGCAATGCTTTCATGCTGTTGTATTGCTGTARATAATAATAAGCAAAATGGATACAGACGTGTTTTCCTGTGCAACCATATTGTTCTACAATGAACCCTACACRTGTGTATTTACAAACATTGATCACTTAGCAATTCTCTCTAATTTACCTAAAGGGATCCATTAGCAATAACCTGTGTTACCTCTCACCTTCTGCAGTGGGTCGTAAGACAAACACATGGAGGATAGAAAGCAGCAATACCATGATAAAGCACAATCAACTCTCCTGTCTTAGAAGGCACTGAAACACCTYCCCCTAAATCTRTGTCACAGAAACACCCCTGAGCAACACCTCTCTCTCTTGGAATGGTGGGAGACCGACTGACAACAGGGAAAGGATGACACAGAGGCATGGGTTTGGATGCAGTAGAAATTTAATGAATAAAAAGATGAGATCAAGGTCACTGAGGGAGGCCTCGGTGCAGACGGAACCAGGATCATCCCAGAATCTCCATCACAGAGATCCCACCAGGTGTCCATCTGCCGGATCCAGAGAGGGAGCAGG